TTAAACTGACTTGAATTTTATGGATGTTACAGTTTTTTCTAAAATAAAATGATTTTCAAAGAAAGTTGTTTTTTTTTTTTTAATAAAATGGGGTGTGATGCATGCTATCAACCAAGCGCAAGTAAGTATTTCCCACAATACCATACGTGTATTATGATTCATGTTTGATGTGAGTATATGAGAATTGCATGCTAGATTAGGGCTAAGGATATTGTAACATCCGGTTTTCCAAGTATATTAATTTAAGCATTTATTTTAAGGATTTTGGGTGGAATCGATGAGTTGGTGCCTCAACTTGTCGAGTGGGATCGCGACTTGGTGACGTGTTTAATGAATGGACTTGACGAGTCGGGTATCTGACTCGCCGAGTCATTGCTGCTGAGGGATACCCTAATTGCTCGGGTTTGCACTACTAGAAAAACAACGTTTTACGACACAATGTATGTCGTAAAACGCTCAAACGACACGCAAATGCGTGTCAAGGATGGCCTTGTCATAACAAGAGACAACACGCTTGTGCGCGTCGTCTATTTAGGATGCTCATCTACAACGCTCATTTACGACATGCAATACGTATCAAGAAAGGCCCTGTCATAAAGGAAGACAACACGCATTTGTGTGTCGTAACCTTACGACGCGCGTTTAGGACACAGATTGCATATCATTAAAGCCCTTGTCATAAATGAAGATGACACGTATTTGTGTGTCATTAACTTCAACAACCATTTACGATATACATTTACAACGCGTCTTTACGATACTCATCTATGCATAATACAAAAATATGGAAACAAATATATACCTAAAAGTGAATTTTATCCAGTAATATCATGTCAAAAAATTATAATACATTGGTATTAAGGGGATCCGATTGTATATTGTTATTAAGAGGTTTTCCCTAACTATATAACTTAATACTACATTGCTATTAAGGAACACCTTTTTGTTTCTACTTCTTAATGTTATGCTTCTATTTCCACATGATACCTGTTTTCATCATCAACACATTAGTATTCAGAACGGCTTTAAACCTCATGAATCTATGTTATAAAATATTAAAATTTAATACACATGTAGTAAAATACCTTTTGCCAAGAATATAGGCTTCAATACAGCCCATACCTGTATAAAATATTAACAAGAAGCATGTATGATTTTTCAGCTTTTTAGATACCTCCAATCTAGTGTAAATTGCAAATACACCCAAAATAAATAAACAAATATAAAAACACATTTGAGAATTCAAGATGAAATAATAATTGAACACTTTGTAAACAAAATGAATAAAAGATATAATACTGTGTCTCAATTTTGTTACTTCTAGTAGTACAAATCTATATATTATTATTAAAAAAAAACATTTTTCTAACCTCTATTGTGGTTTTGTTTTGTATTGTAAGATGTATATGCCACGCCAAAAAATACCTAAATCCATGCAAGAGTTAGGTTGGTTGTCCACATTATCTAATGTATATGATCTCATACACAAACATCCAACGTTGATATCAAAACAATTCAAGAATTAGACTTCACTTCTTTATTTGCAGAAAGAAAGCATGAATATGAAAAGTTAGGAATACAAACCTCCTTCTTTTTATCGCTTTTCCTCTTAACTTCATGAAATGGATCTCATAAAAAAACAATTGATAAAATAAGAAAAAGCATAAGTAGTTACACATACAACAGTAAGAGTAGCATGAGAAGCACAATCTTCTTTCTACACATATCAAAATGGTCATAAATTACCAGGAGTAGACTGAGTGCATCATTGAGCTTATAACCTTGAACCCAAAACATGTATGCCAACTATCATATAAGTAGAAACCACATCAATAATTTCATCATTATAATTTATACATAATGCAAAAGTAGGTAAAAGGGCTTAAATGTAACTTAAGATCAGATTTTTCAGCATACAACAGTTGTGCAGGAGCTCTTCCAAGTCCACCTGTGCAATGTATGTAAGTTACTCCATTTTTTCACTCACCGCGTCCCAAAGTTGCATATTATCCAGCTTATTTTGCACCGTTTTTTATCAATATATTAATATTTATTTATGACTTATAACAAGTAAATAAACGAACGTATGTTGCTATTTTTGTTTATAGATTTATCTATACGTATTATCCTTTTTCTAAAATATCATAGACATCAATATAGTTACACTTTTAAAATTGCTTTTACGTCTCATTTATTTGTATGCATTTCTTGGTACATATGTTTTATGGATGGTCGATCAATTAGCATGTTATCGAATTAAGAAAAAAAGACCTCGAACTCAAAACTTAAAACTTTAATGTATGTAATCAACTTTAGCTTTAATTACTATGGTTTACTTTTATTCTGAGGTTTAACTAGGGTTTCTATAGGATCCCCTTACGTCATCATCTCTCTTGTTCTCTATCTATTCTGGTACTAGACTACTAGTACAACAGTGACTTAGTGAGAGTGAGTGGGTGTTTTCCTTCGATCCATTTAATGCGCCATTTCTCAGTTGTTGAGTCACATTACCTGATTACATTCTTCTAATGCCGCTGGATCGCCAAATCCGGACCCACATCCTAAACCGGACCCGCACTCGCGGTTGCTCCGCCTGTCATCGCCATCCTAATGAACATGTGAATGTCGGACTACAGGAGCAATTTTAACATTTGCAAGTTCCACCATGTGACCTTCTCTACAATGACAAAAAAACCGGTTTAGAAGACAGTTGACTTTTATGGTCAAACATGTTACAACATTAATATATAAATACCTTAACCTCTCACAAAGACGAACCAAAGCATCTGAACCAGTTCGATATGCAACATCCACAATCATAGAAATAGAAGCAGTCCATGGTGTCACACAGTCTGCAATTTGAAACTCACACAACTCTTTCAATGAACACGCATCTGTTAATATAGCAGAGTGGCCCCCACCAGCTGCCAGCTTCCTTACTTCCCCCAAACACCTGTTTCGATTATTCATGTTAAACCTTCAAGTCAAAGGAGAGAGAGAGAAGGAGAGATATACAAATCAACTGGAGATGGGTACCAAGCATATGCAATTAAACAAACTTAAAAATAAATCCAAAATAAAATATCAATTTAATTTTTATAATGTACAAGTAACAAATATTATACTCAAAACGTTATTATGCAACTAAACAAACTTAAAACACATAATATTTAAAGTTATTTGATCAAATTTGGTGTTCTATTATTGGCTAAGACCAAAATGGTGTTAGTTTGTAGAGATTTAACACTCTAGAACCACAAACATAACTCGTCACATATAAATGACCTCCAGTTGCATCACTCCTCACAACCTTTGTTATTGATGTCTTAGAAATCATAGTTAGCCTAAGCTTAGGGATAGATAGGCCATTTTATAGATATGTTCAATTAAACTATAGGCTACGAATGTTATAGAATTAGCTTAGTTACTAGACTCGGCTATTAATTTCAGTTGATTCTCAGTTGGTGTTTATTTTCACTCAATATGATATTATCTCACTATGAATATATTGGTTTTTCAGTTTAACAAAATTCATTAAACATTTCAAATAACAATTCAAGATTATCTGAATGAGAATAGTAATACTAGTTGAGTTAATCAAGCATTGTGCCAAGAAACAGAAGACACTAGATATAAAAATGAAGAAACTTTAGTCAATGTAACTCTTAAGATTAAGAGACTTTAATTGATTTAGGCCCTAAAATTAACAAAGAAGTTGTGCTAGCATCCATGCTTGTACAAGGAGATTAGAGAACTAACCGGTGAGTGCATACTTAGGAGCTAAGAAACAGATATGGTGCCTGCTACACGTGTATGCAAAGAATCAAGAAAAGAAACATAAAAAAAAAGAACTTAATTAATCGACTAACAAGAAGACTTACTGGATCAATGATTTTAACTATATCAAAATTGATTTATTTCAACCTTTTACAAAGTCAAAAGCATCAAAACAAAATAAAATCCACGATATTAGAATATGAATGAATTAAGGCTCACCCAAATATGAGATATATCCATTCATGTAAATGTGCAGAGACATGCTCACTCTCAAGAGCCATGCGATGCTTATGCACAAAATCAACATTGTTTTTGGCCCAAAGAGGAAGCTTAACACAATCGGACGTCATCGATGGAGAAGTGCAGAGTCTCTCTCTCTCTCTCTCTCTCTCTCTCTCTCTCTCTCTCTCTCTCTCTCTCCGCCTTCACCCATGTCTACAGTCTTCCTGAGTTCTAAGTACACACAAATCGATTGAACATCGATGGTCGGCGTGAGCGATGATTGAACATAGATAAAGACTTACATAACAGATGAACCTTCGATTAAACCTTCGATAAAGATTTGCTGATAAAGACTTATAGTTATGGCGATGGTCGATGATTGAACATCGATGGTCGGCGTGAGCGGGAGTCGAGCAAAACCAGCGAATCGATTGAATAGGGAGAACAGATTGAGGGAGGGTTATGTGATACGAACATCGATAAAGACTTACGTAACAGATGAACCTTCGATTAAACCTTCGATAAAGATTTGATGATAAAGACATATAGTTATGGCAATGGTCGATGATTGAACATTGATGGTCGGCGTGAGCGGGAGTCGAGCAAAACCAGCGAATCGATTGAACAGAGAGAACAGATTGAGGGAAGGTCATGTGATACGAACTCAAAACCCTAGTTCAAGCAATAGTCGATTTTGTGTCCCTATGAATGTAAAGTGTTCGATATCTTGTGATAAATGAAGCGATAGAGATCGATCTATGGAGGATGTGGATCGTTCTTTGAGGGTTGAAAAAAGTTTCCTAGACTTTGTGAGGACGTGGTTTTCTAGTTTTTAGATTCCTGCAAGGTATTAAGGAGTGGCGGAGAAGCGGATCGGAGAGAAGAGAGAAGAAGGGAGAGGAGAGGGTAGACTGCGAAGATGAAAGATAGAAAGAAGGTAGAAGACGGGTTTTCAAAATTTTAGGGATTTCGTTTCCCCCATTTGCTAAACGTGCGTTTCTTTAAAATTATAAAGCGACAGGTGTAGAGGACGCACGTTTAAAATAAAGCGCCCTCCGTGTTTTTAATTTATTTTCTATAGACACTAATTTAAGGGCACATAATAATGCATGACATAAATCCTTAATTTTTTTTTTGAAGAGATGACACTTTTTTAATGTCACTCTCTTTTGCTTAACATAAATCAACGAGTGTCGTTGTTTGCACGAAAATGGTTTTTTTCTTGTAGTGTTGCAGCCTATTTAAAGGCTCTTATGGCCTCCATTTGCGGCCACACTTTCCCTTGAGAGACCCTAATCGATCCAGAGAGCTTAGAGAGAGAGAGAGAGAGGGAGCTAATTTCTTCATTTTGGTGCATTCTTGCAAGGAAGAAGGAGAGGATTCAAACTTAGCTGTCTAGAGGGGCTCATATCTTTCACTATTTTGTTCAAGGCTACTGTTGAAGGTATGAATCTATACCTGTTTTCGTATGATTAATAGATCTCTTGAAGTTAGGGTTTCTTTACCATCTTTTAAGTTGAGTTATGAAATATGTGAAGTCCCTTTGAGGCCTAGACATCAGATCTGGACCTTGAGAGGTCCATAAAGTCGCAAGAACCCAGCTTTATGCAGTCACATAAGAATATTGCGCCTAAGACACCATTATGAGGGCTATTTTGTCAAATAGAGCTAGATGAGTGATGTATGGACATAAAGGTTGAACCTTTACGTGACCAATGAGCTTTGAGTGCATAGATTCAAAGTTTTAGAAAGTATCTTGCGCTAAATCGACTGAATGCAAAAGAGTCTGAATAGACTCGCTGAGTTGAACCGCTGACTCGGCGAGTAGCCCATGGTTTTGCCCCGATGAACTGAGTCAGATGGTGACCCATCGAGTTAGGGGTTAGCTTGTCGAGTTGGAGCTTGCTGGGGTTGCCATGAATCAACTAGACTCAACAAGTCTCCCGAGTGCACTCGACGAGTCTGTTCAAAGTTGGACCGTTCACTAAAGTTGATTTATGTTGACTTTAGGGTTTGGTCAAAATGAGTGAAAGAGGTCAGGGAGGGTAGAATGGTCTTCTACCCACTTTTCAGAGATAATAGAAGAATATTAATTAGAAATATAAACTTATGACAGGCGGAGGCTAGACCGAGGATTTCGGGCACAAGATTTTTACTAGCTATCTTATGAGGTGAGTCTTCTCACTATACTTTACCTAGAGTGGTAACTATGTGTGACCAGAGGGTCTTATGTGCTTGTTTGAGTTAGGCCTGATTGTGTGATATATATTGTATGCTATATTATTTGTTGCTTAGACCGAATCGGAGGGTCCAAGGAACTATGAGGCGAGAGGGTTCTCAATCAGATCGGACTAGAGGGTCCAACGAGCTAGACCGAACCAGAGGGTCGAATAAGCTACGAGATTGAAGGGTCCTGCTGAGACACATATACCGACGGGTCTTACTGAGTATAGCCTTGAGTGGCGAATTTGTTGTATGTGGTATTTTGGGGAACTCACTAAGCATTCGTGCTTACCATGTTATGTGTTATGTGTTTCAGGTACCTCGGGAGATAGCGAGAAGGCGCTGGTATGATTGTACACACACACACACACACAGTTGAGATGGAACATCTTAAAGGATCCTGGATTTGAATAATTGTTTTGAAAAATTGTTGTTTGTTTTTGAGAATTTATGATAAGACATATGTTTTATGAATTTTAAAATTGAAAATTTTGGTTTGAAAAATTATGTCGTTATAGATATACTCAGTGTTGCATGGTAGGATGTCTGATTAGGAGAGATGCCTTTATGCCTGTTCTGTGAGTTGGTAGTGATGCAAGCTAGTGACTAGGGATCTTCAGGAGAGATGCCTTTATGCCTATTTTGAATTTTTGTTTTTGAAATAAAATAATAAAAATAAGCAAATCTTTTTGGTATTGTTGTTTTTTAAATTGAAACAAAAAAAATAAGAAAATCTTTTTGGTATTTTTGTTTTTTAAATTGAAACAACAAAAATAAGATTATCTTTTTGGTATTTTTGTATTTTAAAATGAAAAACTACGAAAAATAAGAAAAGTTTACCCAACAAACAAAACAAAAAGTATCGATATGGAAAGATGATACTTCGACACAACATTTTTTCTTTGAAAAGCGAAGTGTATGTTAAATTGTTCAGAGGAAAATCATAAATGAAGCATGTCGAACGCTGAACTGTGAACAGTAACGTCTGAATCATTCAGCGATATGTCGACTCGTCTTGGTTTCATGACGAAGTTAAACTAGGAACAACATTTGCATCAATCATTCCTAAGCCCGACAAGATTCTTAGATAAGTCTTTTCATCTAATGGTTTTGTAAAGATATCAGCAAACTTATTGGTTGTCTTAATAAAGTGAACCTTAATGTTTCCATTTTTGACATAATCTTTGATAAAATGATAGCGAAGTGCTATATGTTTGGTCTTCGAATGTTGCACAAGATTATGATATATGCGTATGACACTTTTTGAATCACAATACAACAATATCTTTTTCATGTTGATTGCATAATCACACAGTTGACTTTGTATGCAGATGATTTGAGAAGTGCAAGCTGCAATTCTGCTTCGACTGTTGAAATCGAAACACAAGTTTGTTTCTTCGATTGCCAACTTACAGACTTCCCATCCAAAAGTTGACATCCACCACTTGTGCTTTTCCGTAAAGTTGACAACCATCTAGGTCAGCATCAGAAACTGGTTGAATGAAGAAACCAGTCTTCGAAGGGTACCACAAACCCAACGAAAATGTCCCTTTGAGATAACGAAAGGTGTTCTTGACAGCAGTTGGATGAGGTTCCCTGGGATTTGACTGATACCTAGCACAATTGCATACAACAAATATAATATCAGGTCGACTTGCAGTTAAGTATAACAACAAACCGATCATGCTCTTGTAGAATGTGAGATCGAAAACAAGCTTGTCCAACAAAGGTGCAAGTCGTGTGCCTACATCCATAGGTACTCGTAATTTCAAACTATTCGTCATTCCAAACATTTCAAACAGATTGCGCAAATACTTCTCTATATTGATAAAGATTCCTTCTCTACTTTGACGATATTTAACCCCAAAAAATTGTCGACCTTCCCCATCATGCTCATCTCGAACTGACTCTTCATCATATTCACAAACTCATTCGACAATGTAGGCCCAGTAGAGCCAAAAATAATTTCATAGACATAAATTTGAATAATATTAAGATGAATCCCAACTTTATTTCGAAAGACAGTAGGATCAACAGATCAATGTTTAAATTTTGATTGCTTTAAAAAATTTGTAAAACTTGCATACTAGGCTCCTGGTGCTTGTTTTAACCCATAAACAGCTTTATCGAGAATATAACAATAATCATGGAATCATTAATAACACTTGGTGGTTGCTCGACATACATGGTTTCTTCCAGTAAACCATTCAGAAAAGCACATTTGACATTCATTTAATAGACATCAAAATCCTTGTGCGGTGCATAAGCTAAAAATATTCGAACAACCTCGAGTCTTGTGATAGGGGTAAAGGTTTCTTCATAAATAATGCCTTCTTATTGCGAATATCCTTTTACAACCAACCTCGCTTTATATCCCAGTATATTACCTTCTTTATCAGTTTTATTTTTGAAAATCCATTTTAAGCCTATAGCTGATGCATCTTTAGGTTTCAGAACAAGCCTCCAAACCTTGTTTTTTTTTTTTCGAATTCAGCCTATTCGGATTGCATGGAAACAATCTAATCTACATCTTCCATATCAACCTTAACTGACTTTGGTTCAATTTTCAAAATAAAAACATTGAATATACAAAATTCTTGATGCACATTGAGCACCTTATTCTTAGGACAAAATTGAGCTATTGTCAACACTCCAACTTGAGGATCACCACGAACATGGTTTTTTGGATGACTTTGTGTCCAATTGTCCATAGGTGGATATGCAGAATCAAAATCCAATGGTTCATCTTCGAACATTTCATCTTGTTCTTCACATACACTAGACACATTATTATTCACATCATGGAAAATATCAGTTTGATCATGCGAAGTATTCTGTAAAAATCCAGATTGCTCCCCCCTTAACAATTAGATTTTCATTTCGATGCCCCCCCCCCCCTCTCGACATTGTTATTTGTATGACTATGCTCCAACTGGAAAGTATGCTCCCCCTCAACACTAGGTATCGAATTCAAGTGCTCCCCCTCCACTTGATCACCATTCAACACTGGATGCCTTTTGACACATATTGGATAATTTGTTGTGGATTTTGAACTGCCATCATCCTAACTTATAGTCGAATCATCATAGTGCTTTGATACTTTTGGAATCTGATTGTCATCTGCATGAAGTTCTACACCGATTACCCTGTTAGGAGCACCAAAAGTTAAATCATAATCAATATATAAAGAATTCAGAATTTTAGATTCATCAGCATTTTCATTGATGATTGGTTTTTGTTCAAACTTCTTCTAACTCACTTGACATAATGATCATCAAAAGTAAGATTAAAATTTTCTTCAATCTTCCTTGTTCATTTATTCAACACCCTATATGCAATAGAATTGTTAGAATATCCCAAGAATATCCCTTCATTAACCATAGGCTGAAATTTCGAAAGGTTATCCTTGAGATTCTCGATAAAACATATG